TTCCTTCCTTCCTTCCTTCCTTCCTTCCTTCCTTCCTTCCTTCCTTCTTTTCCTTTCTCTCTCTTTCCCTCTCTCTCCCAGTGCTGGGATTAAAGGCATGAGCTATAGTGCCTACCCCTAACACAGGCATTTATATTTTAGGAATAAAAGTGTAGCATTAAAAAAAAGTGTAGCATAGGAATTTATTTAGCAGTGATATGTTTTAAGTCCAATTGGAGACAAAAACATTAAAAACAAACAGACGAAACTCAAATAATCCAAATGCTAGAACTAAAGAAATTTAAGGTGGTGGTAATTTAGAATGGAGTGAAGACTGGAGTTACTAGTGCTGCAGAGGTGGAGTCAACAAGTCATCAGGTAAAGAGTTCATCCAGGTTTCAAAATTGGGAATTAAGGAAGATGGAAGAACCACAAATTAAATAGAAGTAATAACAAAGTAAAACCAGATTTAACCAAGGAATAAATTTGTTGATTCAGCATTACACGTTTTCTATTCAGTTTTGGAAGGTCACTAAAATAGAGCAGTTGTCCAATGCTAGAAAAATTTATTAAGGAAATACTATGTCCTATATATCAAAGCAGGATGTTTTTTATCTCTGAGATATTTTGACCATTTCAATATCCTCTACCATTTTGATGTTTAGAGTAGTTTGAGCATCTAGGAGTTAAAAACAGTTGTTGAGTTTAAAAAAAAAAAAAGTAAAAACATCAAACAAATGAGATCTGTATGATTTATTTGGCAGTAGTATATTAAAAAAATTCAACTTTGTAATAATGGTCACAAAAGGAAACTTTAAATAGCAGCCTTTGAAATTTGTGGAACCCCAAAGTTGATAGATGAATCAAATATTTGGTGTCACATTAGATATGAAAGATATGATATTGATTTAAAGCATTTCAATAAAACTCGAAATTTGAAAAGCAGGGTGGGAAATAGAGATTTTTATTCTATGTAGGAAATTTCTCTGGGAATCAAGTCAGCATGATTTCTTTTTTTGTTCTGGAAAATGCTGATTTCCTTCTCTCCCTTTCCTCCTCACTTGCCTGGGATGGATTTTAGTCTTTTGACTTTACTTTAAATCATACTAGTACTGTACAAGTGTACTCTCATTATGATGTATTGAAATTGTGTAGACAAAAAAAGAAAATGTGTAAACACTTCACTGTCTTTAAGCATTTGTGAATAAAATGATTTGAAGGTATTTGAAATAATTCTGTATAGGCTATAATTTTTTAAATTGAGGTCTTTAATGCCTTTCCATTTGATTATATCTAGGGATCATAATGTTTGCTGAGTGAAAATAGAGTTGTCTTTTTGTGATACTGGGAAGTGAACATAGGGTTTCGTACATGCTAGACAAATGTTCTACCACTGAGCCACCTCCCCAGCTGGACATTTCACAGCACCTCACTGACTAGGAAGTGCTCTAAGAGTGAGGAGCATAAGGAATATAGATGTGTTTGTTGTTCTCAGGAAACTCACTGTAGGAATAAGGAATATAATTATGATATAATAGACTGATTGTTCTAAACAGAGACATAGACAAGATGTATTTTAACACAATGCAAAGAACATTTTACTTTTTGAGAAAGAAACTTAAACAGTTGGGGAGGGATGTTGAGAAGATGAAAGGGATTTTGAGTCAAATGCCAATAGTAGTTTTCTGGTCAACAGTATCCCAGAATGCTTAATTTATTGGATTCATTCTTCCTTTTGTCTGGGAAATATGTGTCATCCTTTGCCAGCAATCAACCTTTCTGCTATTTTAAGCTATGGTTCTGAAAGCAAATCTTATTTTGAGGTCATCAAACAGTGCCAGGAACTATTTCAGCTAATAATTCTGTGTTTCATCTTGCAGAGGATTATTTGAATGTATTTTTTTCCCCTTTCTTAGAGAAGTAGTTGATTCAATGGTTCAACATTTTAAAGTGACTATATTTGGAGACCGTAGACCAGTTTATGATGGAAAAAGAAGCCTTTACACAGCCAATCCACTTCCTGTAGCAACTACTGGGGTAAGATGTGTTTCTTTATTCTAAAGCTGTGCTTGTGCTATATTTCCCTTCTTTTATTCTTTTTTTAAATTTACTTATTCTTATGTTATGTAATTTACTATTCTTACTTATTCTTCATGAGCATTTCGCCTGCATGTATGTCTGTGCACCATGTTTGTGCAGTGCTTGAGGAAGCCAGAAAAGGGTACCAGACCCTTTGTGATTGGAGTTACAGCTAGTTATATACAGCCTTGAGGGTGCTGGGAACCAAACGTGGCTCCGTAAGAACAAGGGCTCTGACCCGCTGAGCCATCTCCCCAGCACCTCTATCCCCTTTTAAATGATCTTACTACCATTTTAAATTATCTGTATTAATGATCTTTTTAAAACTTCTGGGGGCTGGAGAAATGGCTCAGAGGTTAACAGTACTGGCTGCTCTTCCAAAGGTCCCTAGTTCAATTCCCAGCAACCACATGGTGGCTCACAACCATATAGAATGAGATCTGTATACATAGTAAATAAATAAATCTTAAAAAAAAAAAAAACAAACAAACTTCTGTTGAAGTAATTTCAGGTTACAAAAAAACTTCAAGAATAATGCAGAAAACTGATATATTCTTTACTCAAATTCACTAATGTCCTTAACATTTGCTGCACTAATTTTTACATTTTTTTCTTACTCTTTTGCTCTTTCATTATAGCTGTAAGTATATTGAAATAAAGAAACATACATGCTTACTTTTTTCTAACCCATTCACAGTTAGGCTGCATATATTATGTTCATTAATAATAATTTAACATATATTGTTGCCTAAAATAAGAATAAAATCTTTTATTCTTCTGATGCAGTTGTTATTTCTGAGGCTTACTGCTTCTGTCTGCTAGCCTAGGCCTAGTCCTGGAAGTTTCTAGCCTCCGTGCAATCTTATCTGGGCCTAGAATGTTTTTAGCCTCTGAGACTTACTGCTAAGACTTTCTAGCTCTTTCTGAATTCTGGCTGGCTGGTTCAACTGAGCTGTTCTGGCTCAAACACCTCTCCAAGCTAACTGATTCAAACTGGCTTCTCTCACTTCTGACTGAATTGCTCTGCTTGACCTCAAACTAACTCTAGCAATCTGTTCTAATCTTCTGGCCCCTTCCCTTTCTCTGTCTCATCTGTCTTCACCTGTGTCTAACTTGTTTGCTTTTCAACCTGTCTCTGTAAAACCCTCCTGGTACACCCCCACCTCTCTGTGCTGCTCTAAGTTTTCTCTCCTTCCTCTCTGTTCTTGTGAAGGTTGGGCATATCCTATTCTGTCAACTTTTTCTCTGATTCGTCACATTGTTTGCCCCTCAATTAGACATTGCTTTCAAACATGGGTGCTTCCTTCTATAAACTGACTTTACCTTCATTGGTTGGGATTAAAGGTGTGTGATAAGGGCACATCTGTATTCCAGCCAGAGTAGTTATGTTGCTGGACTAAAATTTCTCTGCATCTTCCCTCTTTCTGTTTAAGCTAAAAATTGTACACAATCCAACTATTTCAACAGAAACAATTGTCCATCCCGTAAACTTAACAGTCCGAATGTCCTTATGAAGATCCCTTGATGTGATGATTCTTTATAACTATGGTGCTGATCAACTGTCCTTCGGCAAATGTGCCTTTCAGCATCAAGGTTTTTAGTCTGTCGTCTGATGAACAATCTGTCCTTCTTAAGCTGGTTTGTTGAGCTGTCTCCATTCAAGGGATATGCTTTCTGCATCCTCTGCGTTGCTGTCTGTTTTTCTTTCTTGAGTTATGCCTTTCTGACTGATTTGTTCTGCTTGACCTCAAACTAACTCTAGCAATCTGTTCTAATCTTCTGGTTTCTTCTCATTTTCTGGCTTGTTCTGTCTTCACCTATGTCTAGCTTGTTCTCTCTCTCTCTGCAACCTGTCTCTACAACTGTCCCAGTAAAACTGCTCCTCTCCTCCCCCTTTGTGCAGCTCTGTCTTAAATCACCTCTTTTTTCTTCTATGAGTGGGGTATATTCTATTCTGACTCATTCTGTCAAACCTTTCTCAGACTCATCACTTTATTAGCCTCTCAATTAGACATCACTTTTAAACATGGGTGCTTCCTTCTGCAAACTAACTTTACCTTTATTGTTTGGGATTAAAAGTGTGTGTTAAGGGCATGTCTGTATTCCAGCCAGAATAGCCATGTTGCTGGATTAAAATTCCTCTACACCTCCCTGTCCCCTCAGAAAAGAAGAAGCCTCCTATGAATATGAATATGAACCAACTTTGGCAATGTCATTTTCTTAATTTGACATTAAGATTTTTAAAAATTTTGCCTGTTATCTTTTTATAAGTTAAATTTTAAATAATTACATTTATCTTTTTCAACATTTCATACTTGGGTCTTGTCTCATCAACAGGTAGATTTAGATGTTACGTTACCTGGGGAAGGTGGGAAAGATCGACCTTTCAAGGTGTCAGTCAAATTTGTATCTCGAGTGAGTTGGCACCTACTACATGAAGTACTGACGGGACGGACTTTACCTGAGCCACTGGAATTAGACAAGCCAATCAGCACTAACCCGGTCCATGCCGTTGATGTGGTGCTCCGACATCTGCCTTCCATGAAGTAGGTGGTTCTGGCTCTCTTGCCTCTTTAGACCTTTAAATAGGAAAGAGTGACTAGTATAGGCCTTCCTGGTTAACCACTGTATGCTGTATGTTTTTCATTATTTCATTCATACAATAATAGCATGTGAAATATATATCACTAGTAGCTAGAAATTTCTAACCCTTTTTCTTAGGACCTGTGAGTCATGAATAACTGACATTTTCAGATATATTATAAATTAAGTAACCTTGTTTTAAAAGTTACTTCATATTTTTTAAAAATTATTTAATTATTATATATACAATGTTGTGTCTGATGTAGACCTGCGTGCCAGAAGAGGGTACCAGATCTCATTGTAGACGGTTGTGAGCCACCATGTGGTTGCTGGGAATTGAACTCAGGACCTCTGGAAGAGCAGTCAGTGCTCTTAACCTCTGAGCCATCTCTCCAGCCTGTGACTTCATATTTTATATGAAAGTGTCAGATTGTGTTGAAATTGCTACTCTGGAGCTGGAGATAGAGTTAAGGGTTGGAGTATTTGTCCAGCATACTTGAGGTCCTGCATTCAGACTCCTGCATGGAAAAAAAGGAGAGAGAGTTACTATTTTGTAAAATCACAATGGCAGTTCATGTTTCTGGATTTAAGTATGTCAGATATATATCTTTGAAACAATTAGTGTGGCTATCTTGAAACATTTGTAGAAATAACCGATTCATTAACATTTTAAAGTTGCAATGTTCTTATTTTAACCAGGCGGTGGTGGCACATGCAGGGAGGCAGAGGCAGGTGGATCTCCATGAGTTTGAGGCCAGCCTGGTCTACAGAGCAAGTTCAGCACAGCAAAGGCTACACAGAGAAACCCTGTCTCGAAAAACAAAAACAAAAGTATTTTAAGGGACAAATGAGGTAGCATACACTTTTAAAGCCCAGCACTTGGGAAGCAGAAGCAGGCAGACCTCTGAGTTTGTGGTCAGGCAGGTTTACATTGTAAGTTCTATGCTGCAGAGAGCAACACAGTGAGACTCTGTCTTAATAATAATAGTGATGATGATAATAATAATAATAATAATATAAATAAAATATATTGCTTTGTTAACTAACAGATTCTGAAAATAGACAATTTCAGAGATGAATGCTGATGAATTTCTTCATTTAGAATAGCTTTTTGCTTACATGTGTATTTGTAATTATAAGTATCATTATAGTAAATGAATTGTTTTTGCTTTAGTGTCCCGTCCTGCAGATTTAAGTATTAGTATTAGAAGGAAAGGATTGAACATGCCATTTTAATTTTTGTAGATATACGCCTGTGGGGCGTTCCTTTTTCTCAGCTCCAGAAGGATATGACCACCCTCTGGGAGGGGGCAGGGAAGTATGGTTTGGATTCCATCAATCTGTTCGGCCTGCCATGTGGAAAATGATGCTAAATATTGATGGTAAGGGAACTAAAACCATATTCTGAATTGGATAGTCCATTTCTATATGGCATGTATGTGTGGTTTTATTTATAAACTTATATATACTAGTGTCTTAAAGTAATACCTGGATGTGTGTGTGTATGAGACAGCTTAATAAAACCTTAATATTTTTATTATGTTTCATTTGTAAATTCATTATGCAGAGACTGAGAATGCTACTAAACTTGAAGCAGACACATGAAAATGTGTAAAAGCCCTTGTATGATCATTTGAGAATTTTATCTTACAAATAATTCACTTTTATTCTTTTCACTCTTAAGTCAGCATTTTATTATAAAATTTACATTGTTAAGAGAAATGTGTTGGTCATAGTGACCTTAGCCAGGCATTTTTGTTGTGGTTAATATGTTACTAATTACATTCTCATTTTTAGGTGCTTTCCTGCAAATATTTTCAAGCTTATGTGTAAGAGAATAAAATGTTGAATTGCCATATTGTGTAGCCATTATTCATTTTGACAGGATTTTTATACCTTTGTTAATCTATCTATATTTTTTTCTCTGTGTAAATATTTTAAGTCACATTCTTATTTTGTTTTGTTTTTTTGAGACGGGGTTTCTCTGTGTTGTTTTGGCTGTCCTGGAACTCACTCTGTAGACCATGCTGGCCTCAAACTCAAAATGATCTGTCAGCCTCTGCTTCCTGAGTGCTGGGATTAACGGTGTGTGCCACCACCTTTGGGCTCTTAAGTCACAGGATGTTATTTTGTCCTTCTATATATACCACTGAAAATTGGAATGTTTCTTATTCATTAGCAATGTCATTTTTTTAATGTAAGAAAAATTTTAAAAAAATAGTATTTTCTAATTCTTAGCCCACAATCAAGTTTCCTTGATGGTCCCAGATATGTCTTTTTCTGTTTAATTGATTCAAATCAGAATTTAAACAAGATTCACACGTCACTTTTCTTCCCCTACCCTTTCCTTTTTAAAATTTCGCTGACTGCTTACTGAACTATATTGTAGAATATACCCAAATCTGTTCTTGTCTTTATTTATTTATTTTTATGATTGGTTGTTCTATCCTTTATATTTTCTGGAAAATAACTTTTCTGTAGAAGTTTAAACTCACTTTGGGTAGAAAATATAAGTGTTTTATATTGTATCCTACTTGGAGGCACAGTACTAGGGGTCCTGATTGGGCTGCAAAGATGAATCCATAAAACAGTCAACGGGTCAGAGATCTCTCCTTTATAAACCCAATCACAGTTGGCAGTTACTGATGCTATATTCAGTGATCGTTGCTCCCAGGCCATTTCACTAGAGATTACCAACTTGTAACTTTTCTCATTCTCTTCTGTTTGTTTTTTGTTTGTTTGTTTTGTTTTGTTTTCTAAGACAGGATTTCTCTATGTAACCCTGGCTGTCCTAGACTTACTTTGTTGACCAGCTGGCCTCGAATTCACAGAGATCTGCCTGCCTCTGCCTCTGTGAGTGCTGGGATCACAGTCATGAGCTACTGCGCCCAGCTCTTTTTCTTATTTTTGGATTCAGTGGAATTCTAAGGCTCAGTGTCCAGTTGATAATTCACTGATACCTCTCTTGCTTTCTGACACAGCAATATATTTGAGGTTCGTCATGTTTCTTGCTTAGGATCTTGAATTTGTCATCCCTCCATGGATCCCTGGATCTTTCCAGATCAACACAGTTTCCTCATGTTATCCTAGCAATTTTGCCATTGTAGAAATAATGAGAGACAATGTTTAACCAGTTCCCTTTATATGTGTATTAGGGATATCTACAAATATTATTTTATATATACTTAATATATGTGTAAGATAAATTACTGGAGATGAGACTGATAACTAAAGGATAAATGAATTTAGAATTTTGAAGCTGGGCATTAGTGGCACACACCTATAATTCCAGCACTCAGGAGGCAGAGGCAAGTGGATCTCTGAGTTTGAGGCCAGCCTGGGCTGTAGAGTAAGTTCCAAGACAGCCATGGCTACATAGAGAAATCCTGTCTTGAAAAAAAAAAATCAGTATTTTCAGATTTCTCTCTTTAAAGGTTGTAAATGTTTGCTATCTAATGGTCAGAATACTTGTTTCCTTATGTGTGTCATCAAACTCTTAGATTTTTGCCAATTAAATTTGCTGTTTGTTGTTACTTTATTTGTCTTGTATTTCTGGAAACAGGTTCTTATGTGTGGTTCAGCCTAGTCAAAAACTCACTGTGTGGTCCAAGGTGCCCTTGTACTCCAGTCTCGGTCTTCTAGTTGTAGATTTTTAGGCATGATCTGCTTTCTGTGCCTGACTCAAAACAAAAACAAACAGTTATTTACTTATTTAAAGACTACTTGTGGTTCATTCTTTTTTACTTTAACATTTATTGTTATTTTTAGATACTGAGAATGGAGCCCAGGGCCTTGATAGGGCTAGCCATACACCTTAATAAACTGTTGGTTTATATATTTCATTCTTTTTTCTTTCTTTTTAAATTTATTTTATGTTTGAGAATTTCATGCATGTATAAAACATATTTTGACTGTATTCTCTCATTTCCTACCTCCATTCCCCTGACACTCCATTTCCCTCCCATCTTCACACCCCCCACTTTTTAAAATAACTTCATGTTTTCAGTTAGAGCTGCCTCTGTGTGCAAGAGTATGGGGCCATTCACTGGAGCCATGCATGCCCCAGAGTGAAAAATTACTCTTCCTCTGTCAGCAGCCTTCAGCTGCCAGTTGTTCCTAAACTAGAGGTAGGGCTTCATAAGTTTTGTGACTTACTTGATCTTGTATAAGTACCACAGTTGCTGTGAATGCAATGGCCATGCCATATCCAGAGTCAGCATTTCGCAGTATTCCTTCCTGTCCTGAAACTCATAACATTTCTTCTACCCTCTCTTCTGTGATATTTCTTGAGCTTTTCATTGGGGGAGAGTTAATATGAATGTCCCTTTTAGGGCAAGCACTTAGTCACTTATTCTCGGCACTTCCAGCAGTTATGAGTCTTTGCTGATCTTTTGATACCCACTACCAAAAGAAGCTTTACTGATTAAGGTCCATAATTAAATTGTTATTTGTATTTTAATCTTTGGAATGGTGGGTGGTGGTTATTTTGTTTTTGTTGATTTGTGTTCCCATACACAGAACTTTGCTTGTTAGCATACACACACACATGCATGCACATGCAATGATCACTTATTTATGAGTTGTAATGTGTGATAAAGCTATTGTCATATCTTTAAGACCATCCTTACTTGTTTTATGATATAGCCTTTAGGAATTCTGTGTCTGCATCTAATGTGTAAGAAAACAGGCTATTTTTACTAACATCTACTTGACTTCTGTAAGGTGTTAAATCTTGCATTGAATCCAAAATCACGCTGTATTACTTCTATTTGCTTGCTTCAGAAATGTTTTAAGGCTTTCCTCATATACATCTTACTCGTTCTTGGTATTCCTGGGTATTTTCTGCTATTAGATAGCTTTAACATTTAATGGTGCTTGTTTAATATTTAACATAACCAGTTCTTATAAATATGAAGACTTTTAACGTCTACATGGAACTTTTTAATCTTTCTGCATTACTGAATTGCATACTTAGAGTTTTTCAAGTGGTTTTTCTTGACTTTTCTACGTTACAGTCATATGGTCTGTAACATATGAATCCAGGATCAATTCCTGGCACCCACATGGTAGCTTAGAACTATCTAGTCCTGGGGGATCTAGCACCTCACACAGATATACAAGCAGTCAAAACACCAGATTTATCTCTGTTATTTTCTTGTCAGATTATGTTGCTAATTTAGATAGAATAGTAACAAATGGCAATTATGATCCTCTTTTAATTCTTCATTTTAGGAGAAATGTTTCCAGTGTTCTCTGATAGGTACTATGACACATGCATGTTTTTCCTATTATTGTTAGGAACATCTGTTCTGTTACTGTTAAGGAACATTGTTATTCTATTTTCATAAGTACTTTAATCAAAAATATACATAAAGGGCTGGAGGGATGGCTCGTTGGTTAGGGGCATGTACTTGTTCTTCAGCAGACTGTTGTTCCATTTTCAGCACCCTTGTCAGGGTTTCACAACCACCTGTAACTTCATTTCCAAGGAATCTAGGGCCCCTTCAGGCACCTACAGTCACACACACAAAAGCACAGAATATATGTTAAATTTTGCCTTATGCCTTTTTAGTGTTTATAGAGCAACTGATGGCAGCAGTTCTCTTTTTTGCAAACAGTAAAGCATTTAGGTTCTTTTAATGTAACACTGGATTCTGTTTACTTAATGCTTTACTTTTTAAGTTACAATACCCAAGTAAGATTAATTTTAAGGTGGCTTCTCTTTCTGTAAAAAGTCTTTTTCAAGTTTTGATATTAACATATTTTATTTTATTTTATTTTATTAGTTTTTGTTTTTGTTTTGAGACAGAGTTTCTCTGTGTAGCTTTTGGCTGTCCTTCAACTCACTCTGTAGAACAGGCTGGCCTTGAACTCACAGAGATCCACCTGCCTCTGCCTCCCAAGTGCTAGGATTAAAGCCATGCACCAACACCACCAGTTTTAACATTATATTTCATTTAAAGTTTTAAAATGTTTTCCATTTTCTAAAATTTGCAACAATTTTAAAGTAGTACTGAAATTGTCAGCTCCTAGAAAATGTAATAGAATCCCCTGAAAAACTTTACGACCTGCTTTGTTTTGTTTCTTTTTGTTTGGTGGCTAGTTCTTTTAAAACATCCTCTATTTACTATATAAAAATCAGTATCCATAGACTGGAGATATGGCTCAACAGTTAAGAGCACTGCTTTCTCTTCCAGAGTACCCAGGTTCAATTCCCAGCACTGAGATGGCAGCTCACAATTGTCCAGTCCCAGGGGGATCTGGCATCCTCACACAGACATACATACAGGCAAAACACCAATGCACTTAAAATAAAAGTAAATAAGTCATTTTAAAATTTTAATTAAGTAATTTAAAAGATCAATATTCAGGCCGTCTATAA